CCGCACCGATCCCCGCGCCCCTTTGCGCCAGCTGCTGAGCTGTGCCTGCGTGCCCCTATGCAAAGTCCACACCGAGGGAGAGAAGTGGAAAGAAATGGAGAGAAATGCTCTTTCCCCTGCTCTGGGCAGAATAAAACTTGCCAGCTGGCGCCTAAAGTGGAGGATCTCCTTTCAGTCTGGGCTGTGTGGGTGGGTGTCGGTGAGGTTGGGGCTCGGTGCTGGAAGGGGGAGATCTGGAGCTCTGCACTCTATGGTGGAGGGTGCTCCCTCTCCTATATTTTTATCAGGTAGAAATGATAATTTTCTTTTATTTCCCCCTAGCGAGGACCAGGATGAGCAGCATTACCAGGACACGGATTTGGATGTGCCGGAGCAGCGGGATGGCAGGTGCAAAGTCAAGTGGACCCCAGAAGAGGTGAGTGAGAGCCTGACATTTGCCGAGAGAGGTGCTTTGGGCTGGTGCCTCTGACATGGCACCCTGGGCTTGGGTGACTCCACCCCACCCTCATATGCTGGCCACGATCTCACCTCCTCCTGTCTTACTACTGGAGAGGACCTTGTGTCTTTTGTACTGAGCTCAGGCCTGAATGAGGCTCAGAGGTTCAGGGGAGTTTGAAGTGCAGCCTGAAGAGCAAGAGCTCAGAATTTTTAACTTAAGCCTGTGAGTACTGAGTGAAACACCACTGCCTGTAGCACTCCTGTGAGAACAGACGAGTCCAGATGAGGGCTGAGGCCTCCAGTGAGCTGAAATGTGCAGTGGAAATGTGCTCCTTTTTCTGGAGCATTGACACTTGGGATTATGGTTTAGTCATCCTGGCTGAGAGCCTGAAGTTAACTGGGATATTCTCTTCCTTCCTCCCAGTTTCACTAATTAGTTTGTGCTGTGTGAAAACTACAGCTGGGTCAGAACACCAAGAAAGATGACTTTTGTGGAGGGATCAAAGCCTTGGGCTAATGTTGGGCAGGGAATAATTTCATTATTGAACTATCCAGAGCTCCCAGATAAGGATGTCTCTAACAGGCTTTCTGTGAGCTGTAGGAGTTTGCATACCCAGGCTATAGCAGGGGTCACAAAAGAAATGCTGTAGAGTCCTGTGGCACTGAAAGAAGAGCACTGTGCAGGTGGTGATACACTCCAATCAGTCAGCTTTCCTGGCCAGACAAAGCCAGTGGCTGGGCTGGGAGATGGGCTGTCTGGTCAGGAGTGTTCTGGGGCTGGCTAAACAGGCCCTTGCCACAGGGTTTGAACCAGACTGTAGAGGAACGGAGCTGAGCTCTTGTTTTGTACTTAATGTATGAGCTTGTCCTAGTACAGAGCTCAGAACCTGTCTGTTCCAGTTGGGTCCCATGTACTGGAGGGTCTGCTAAACACTGGTGTGAGCTGCCTTCCTCCCCTGAGGAACAAAACCTTGACAGTTCAAAACATCTAATTTGTTCTTTTAATGCCATCAGCCCTGTGGTGTGTGTTTTCAATGTATCTGAAAGTGGATGTTTTTGTCCTTTGCAGGATGAGCAACTGAAGATGTTAGTGAGCCATTATGGGCAGAATGACTGGAAGTTCCTGGCCAGCCACTTTCCTGTGAGTGACCCCATGCCCAACTGGAATCAATTCCAGTGTTTGCATGTTGCTGCTTCCCTGTGTCTGTGCAGTGGGACTCTTTTCTGACTGTGCTCTGACTTCATAGCTCCAAGCTGTGAAATGGGGCTGCTTCAGGGCAGGGGGACCTTCTTGCATAGAGGGCTTTCCACGGTGAGTGTGTGGGAGCTGGGGTGAGAAATTGAGGTTCCTGTCCGTGTGTCTGGTGCCCTGGGCCCAGGACCTCCATTTGTGTTCTCTGTGTGCTTGTGCAGCTGTTCTGTGGGACAGCCTGGGTGTGTGGGGACTGCTGTCACTTTGGGAGGTTTCTGGGCCTCTGGAGCCCCTGGTGTGACACAAGAATGTTCCCATTGCTGTTCCCAGAACCGCAGTGACCAGCAGTGTCAGTACCGCTGGCTCAGGGTGTTGAATCCAGACCTGGTTAAGGGCCCGTGGACCAAAGAGGAGGATCAAAAGGTAAGTCAGGGCTGAGAGGATCAGAGTTGGTCTGTCTCTGGCTGCAGAGAGGGTGGAGATGTCAGACCCCTCCTCAGGTGTTGCACACTGTGTGTAACTGCCCCCTGTGGTGGGTACCTGTGAGAGCAGCTCTGTCTGTCCTGCCCTGAGCAGCTCAGGCAGCCATGGTTGGGATGTGATGTGATCTAGGCCCCTCCAGGTAAACACCTTCCCCCTTTCACACAGTGGTGCTACAGTACAGTGCTGCCAAGGGAGAGAGCTGAAAAGGGAATTAATTCATCTGCCTGCTGGCAGGTCTCCACCTGGCCTGGCCAGGTTGGATCTAAGAGAAAATAAAACTGGCATTTCCTGTGCCACTATAGGCAGGCTGGAGTGGATGTCTGAGGTTGGCTGGGTGAATCATGACTTCTGTGAGCCTGTTTCTCTGCTGAATCCAGAGTCAGCCAAGAGGGGCCAACTCAGACAGACTCATCATCTTGATGTACTTAAGGAAAGTTGGAGTGAAATACTAATTTTACCAAGGTTTTCTGGTACAGAACATCTTAGTTTGTCAGAGTCTCTGTAACACTCCTGCTCCCCAGCTTCTTTCCCTTTTGGTCCCATTATGATTTGTCAAGCCCTAAGGAAGCTTTTCCTGATGTTGTTCCCTGTTCTTACAGCAGAGCAGTTGTTGCCTGCTTTCCCCTTCCCTTTGCCTTGTCCTGACTCTGCCAGCCTACCCATCCTGGCCAGGCTGGGCTCCAGCTCTCTCCTCATTGCTTTGGCCCAGCTCCTTGGCCTCAGTTTGGCATTTTTGGTCCATTTTCCTGTGCTTGAAAGGCAAGAGTCTGCAGCAGGGACATTTATTACGTGAACATCACTTCTACCTGCACCTTTCAGCTCTGCACAGCTGGTCAGGGTAGAAATGTTCTTTGAGAACTCTTCAGCCAGGATTTTGGTGGCTGAACATTGCAGATTGTTTCATCCTGACTGTGCACTGGATATTTTAGGAGCCCAGAATGGATTCAGTGCCCAGAAATATTTGCAATGGGGCAGAAGTGACAAAGCCCTGGGTGGAGGGTAAGAGGCAAAGTGGATGGTTCTGAAGTGAATTTAAATCTCTCCCTGTGTGTCCTGGTGCTGTCAGGGCATGGAGCTGCAGACTTGTCTATCTTGGGTGTACCACACTGATGGGGACAGCTGTCACACAGCAAGGTCCTTGCAAGTAGGGAGGGCAGAGGAGCCTTGGAGCAGGTGGGACTTGGCCCTTGCTCAGAAATGGGAATGTGTTTCTACATTTGGGCACCTGCCAGTCTCCACCCCATCTTCTGTCAGGGGTCATCTGCATTCACAGGTGCCCTGTGGCAAAATGTCTGCATGGAAAGAGCCTCCTGCAGAAATTTGGCAGAATTATTGCTCTCATGAGGGTTGGAACACCTGACAGCCCTGCTGGCTCCCTCCAGCTTGTCCTCCAAAGGGGGCTTCCTTTGTGTGCCCTTACCCGGTCCCAGAAAAGGCAAAGAGCAAAGCCTGAAGATGACTGCACTGACCTTCC